CTAAAAAAATATTCGTAAGAAGACATGTGAATATTTGAAAGAACGACTTATGCAAGCAATGAGTCTTTGGGTTTATAACCAATTTTTAAAGGCTTAACTAATTTTATATGCAGCTTGATATTTTAGTTAAGCAAAGAAAATAAAAATCCAATGTAATAATTATTTCTGATCTTAAAATAAAAATCACAAAATAAAGATTCAATTTTACCGAAAATAGTCCAAATATAATATAATACAATGCCGTAAAAATAAAAATCTTCCAAGAAAAATTTTTTGTTAATAGAAACAATCAAATTAAAAGTTATTTATATTGTGGTGTAAATAAAAGTGTTTATAGTCTAAACAGACAATTTCACAGGAATTAACAATCTCGATTTCGAAATTGTTTTTTTTTTTGTTTGCTAGCTACTTGCTATTAATACCAACAGCTTTATAACAAAAGCCTAAGCAGCTGATAAATTTTAAAAATTTTGCTTTACAATATAAACTATTTGCTTTTTAGCAAAATTTAGTACAACTTTCGCGAAAATAAACAACACGTACACACAGATATTTTAATTCTAGCAATCGAAAAAAGGCTTATCGACATATTTCTTAAACGCCAGCTGTTGAAACGAGTTAAGCTTATTTAATATTTAACAACGTTTATTTTATTTTTCGTCTTTAAATACGAATATATATTGATATGATAGCGAATCACAACGATTTGTTATTAATATTGTTTATAAATACAAATAGCGGTATTCAGGATAATGATGGAATATCTTTCGAAGGGGGATACACGATTAGACAAACATAAATAAAAATATTTAAAAGAAAATTCGCTTAATTTGAAAATTATCTTTCAGTTCCTTTCTGATTAGTTTTAATATTCAAACATTTCACACTAATGCAGCGCTATGAGACAAATTTTGTTCTCGTTTCGTTCTCTGTCAGAATGTTCCTCAGGTTTTAGTTCCCGTAACCCAGAGTTTTGTTCTTAAAAAAATTCCCGTTGAGAACGTCCTCGACAGTTTTTTCTCTCCTTCGTTTTTGTGAAAACACTCCCGAAGGTTTTGGTATCATTTGATTTCGCGGTTTTAAGCGTTCTTGGGAGCAAAAATACGAAAACGAAATTTAGTTTTGTTCTTTTCTACTTCCAGCCTACTTTTTACAGGAGACAATTTTCTTTTACAAAATAAAGGTATAGAAAAAAAGATTAAATCGAAATAGATTTCTTTAGCAAAATACGCTAGTTTGCCAAGCATTACATAAGTTATTTCGTAAATAAACTAATAATCTGTTAATCGCATTTTCACATTAAATGAAACTTTTTACAAATTAAATGAAATCTTTTTCAATGGAAATATTTTCGATTTGAATGAAATAGTTTTCAAACAAATTAAACTTTTTCAAATCGAATGAAACTTTTTTCAAATTGAATGAAACTTTTTTTTTTGGTGATAACGATGGGGATAAGCGAAGAGACTAAGGGCCGTTTTCTCAAGTAGGTTTTAAAATTTAGTTTGGGTTTTAGGTTTTAAAAGTTAGTGTGAAAATGCTAGACTTCCAAGTGAATTTCAACCAAAGCCGCTTCGAATTCAAATTGAATGGGTTTGAAATTCACTCGGAAGTGAATGACAAAACTAGTCTGATATTTTTTTTTTTAATAAATTTTTTTAAAGCATTAACTAAAACTAAAACTTGCCAATGACGCCACCCTAGTTAAGCATATTTAGCACTATTAAATTGTATGCACCTATAAACCTGGCAATTTAAATTAAACTGGGATTTCTTTAAACAAAAATAAGCTGGTTTGAATGATGGCAACATATTCGCCGAGCAAACAAACACAATTTTTATTGCATTTTTTACTGCAATTTAAATAAGTAAAGTAATTTTCTTCATTTTTACTGTTGGACAATATCAGTCTTTTTATAAGCTAATAAAATATTAATTAAACATCAAACAAAAAAAAAAGAAAAAGATAATTCAATATTTTGAATATGAAGAAGAAATAAGCAACCAAAATCCGTAAAGAAATTAACTCTTTTGTGGTAAATACATATATAGCACTAATGTGTCTTCTGACCTACTACTTATTTGATCTCATTGCTACTACGGCGGTTGTTGCGTATTTTGGCATGATTTGAAAATAGACAAGGCAAAGAATACATTACTTCGCCTTCTCTGCTGCGTGCGTGTCGCTGATTCAGTTGTTGTTGTTGTTGTTGTTATTGTATTTCATGGATTGTTATTCTCGCCACAGCACTGTATGCAATCCATGCAGTTGTGCTACCTGTTGCCATCGCCTTTTCTATTTATATTCGATGATGTCAGTTGAAGCTGAATTGTGGATTTGAACATATGTATGTATGTAGGAGGTAAGAAGATTAAAACAAAAACAAAAAACAATTATGTATTGCACAAATGGGCGTGATTTTCAGAATTTTTTTATATATGTATATACATAACTAGGTGGGTAGCTAAATATTTATTTTTGAGAGTATTTTAAACTTATATTAATTGAAATACATAGTTAAAAAGGTGAAAAGAAAATAATATTGCACAAAACATATGTAAGCGTTGAAAGCTGGAACAAAATAAACAAGATATGGCGTAGTAAACAAAGCGATAGTTTGAGAGTAGGAAAGTAAGAAAAATGCATTTTAGGGAGAATAAATTATGAGTACAATCGGTTGGTGCAGTGGTCCGTAAATCGCTTTCGCGGACGCTGATAGCTGCATTGAATTCGAATTTAGATTGGTAACTCCAAATAAAAGGATTTCAGTAAAAGCGTCAGAGGCATAACAGTACTACATAGTTTAAACCAAATCTGTAGAGTATATCGAGCATTCCACGGAAAAAGGTATGTAAATTTTCATCGCTGGACTAATTAGTTTTCCAGATGAATTTTTCAGCGCAAATTTATCTATCTGGCTCTGGAATGGTGGTTGCCTATGCTGACGATGTAGCATTGATAATAAAGGGAAAGTTTAAGGAAACACTGTTTGGACTTATGCAGGGTTACCTGAACTTGGTTTAAAACTGGGCTTCTAGTTGCGGACTGGGTGTAAACCCTCCTAGCAGAGGTGACCGCAATAAAAGAGGCTTCGGATTGGTTGCTCTCTTGCTCTCTTGTGTAACACCTTTAAGGTGTTGAATATACATATATTCCGACAGCCAAACAGCTATCAAGGCTCGAGAACCGTGAAAGAGTGTCCGACTTCATTATCGACAGCATCGGATTACTTCGCTGTTAAGCTTATTTGGGTTCGAGGTGACAGCGAAATCGCTGGAAACTGCATGGTCGATAAGCTGACAAGACAGCGAACCCTTGAGGAACTACTTCCGAAAGGAGAAGATCTGAGAGTTCCCCTGACATCGTGCGGTCTGCTTCTGAACAGATGGGCGTTTAGTCAGCTCAGTGAGCGCTGAGCGAAGGCCTTGGAATGAAAGGGGCAAAATTATTCTGCGCACGTGTAGACCGGAGGCGTCATTCTCCCTTACCTTACCCCTCTTTCCCTACCCCTGCGTCCTTTTCCCTTTCGTTCCCCTATTAAGGGCATCATAACGGACAGCATAGTCGTGTCTAAATGGGTCTCTTCTTGCATGCCAATACCTCTATGCAGTCAACGACAATCACAAAAGGCAGTCTTGATGGCAAAATTATGTCTCGGAATTACTTTACAAATTGCCCTTTTTTACTTTATTAACCGACTTCCAAAAAAGGAGGAGGTTATCAGTTCGTCGGATTTTTTTTTTTATGTATGCTACCGCATAACTTTGGACCACGTCAACCGATGTCGATAATTCATTCTGCATCGGAAAGGTAGTGTCTCAGAGGTGGTCCCATACTAATCTGGTTAAGATCCGGGCAGTGGATCATGAGATATATATATATATTTTTTTTTTCATGAGAATTGGAGTCGGTTTTTTTTGCTAAAAATTACTTGCTTTAATAGAAAGGATCCGCTCATTGAAAATTGTTGCAGTTCAGCAAATGTCAGCCTCTACATTTCAAAGTAGTTCATTCGTTGGTCGAAAGTGGAATCAAGAAAACCCTTTTTAGAAAAAACAGCTCAGCGCCAAATGAAAATGCATACGACTTTAGATCACTGCATCAGGTAATATTTGAAAAAAAAAAAATTAATAAATACATAATTGAAGGGAGAATATTATTATTATTAGTGCTTTTACTAATCTCTCATTGAAAATTTGTGCATTTTACAATCCAATCTTTTAATTTTACATTAGCCAATTATTGGTGTGCATTTGAATTAGCAAATTCGCTTACATGCGCTGCATTCAAATTTTAATTTATTTTATTATCTTTTTTTATAAAAGCTAGTGCTCAACGCCTAAGTATATTATATTAAGTTTCAATATCGATTTGAATTCTAAAAACTACAAATGAAAAGCAAACTGCAAGCACGTCTCTTCTACGTTTTTTTTTTTTTTGTTTAATTTTCTTTTAGCCAAAACTGACCTTTGATCCTTGCATCAGAAATGTTGATTGAATTCAGATTCGACTGTTTTTAACGCCAAATTTTCAGGTTTATAATTTTTTGTTCACGAAAAACATATAGTAAATAGAAAACAGTGAGATTAGGTGGTGGTGAAGAGTAGTAGAAAGTAGTAGTAAATAGTAGTAAAAAAAGAGAATTTCTTAGCTTATAAAAGAGAACCAGTCGTATAATTTTCAAAAACAATCAAACAATCGTTTAAGAATATATATCTAGTTGAATATAAATAATATCAGCAGCAGCTGTTGAGCTTTCAAAATTCAATTAAGCACAGTAAGATGCAAAAAAAAACCCGTTATGCTGATACGAATGGCGTTTTTTATCCATACAAACTCGAGCAAAAGTGTTTTGGTGGGTGTGGTGGTTTGTTTTGTGCGCGTTCGAGTAGATTTTGTGTGCATTTTTTATTTTTTTTTTCAAAACACATTAAAGTGAACTTCAAAACTCTTAAAAATTTATTGTATTAATGCAAAAATTGTGTAAATCAAAACTAACCTGCAGTGAACGTATCGTATCCAGTAAAGCCTTTTTCTCTTCCAAAAGTATAGTTATGTCGTCTTGTGCCGCTTTTAGATATGAACGTAGTACATCATTATCTTGTTTGGTCTTTTGTCTGTACCGAAAAAAAGAACAAATTAAATTATTAAGCATATCACGCCTTTCTAGAAATATAAAATATTTAAATCAATTGGCGAACTGATTAAATATGTATGTACTATTTTTACAAAAGTATTCTTCATAATAACATATTTATCTAAAAAAATAAAATTATAGTTTAAAAAACGAAAACCTCCCTATTATAATTGCTATTCGTACTGTCATCAGGTATGTAACTTGAGAATAGAAATCGCTGCATCTTTTAGGCGCATCAATATTACATAGTTACATCCCGAGCTAATAAAAGGAAGGTAAAAAGGAGTGAGTACCAGATACTCATGAAATTGAAACGGTCGAAAACGTCGTAAGCTTGTACAGAAACGATCTCAACCAGGACTTGAAACAGTCTCGAAATGGTCGCTTATTAGTCGCAAAATCATCCCGTCAATGCCCAAAATAATGCTACTGAGCTAGTCCCAAAATCATCGCGAACTAGACCGAAAATTAACCTGAAATAGTCCTTTACTAGTCAGAGCTAGTCCCAAAATGGTCCTCAAATGGTCGTGCACTAATCCCGGTATTGTCCCTGAACTAGTCCAGAAATGCTCATTTGTACACACAAGAAATAATTACAGATTTTCTGTTGTGTTACACAAGAAGCAGTTACAAATTCTCCTACTAAGTTAATGCAAATGTCCTCCCCGGGTCTGAAACACCAACAACGAAAATGCAAATTTTACCCATATCGAGAGCTAAGATGTTGCTTACTTGTACATACATATAAAAAAAAAAACATTTACCTATAGCAATCGGCATTTTCTTTCGCATTTACCAACTGCTTACGCAAATTGTCATTGTCCATTTTCAATTGTTGCATAACCAACTGCATTGCAAGTATTTCACGATCACGATCGCGATCGCGCGGTGTCGGAGCGACAGCTGTTAGAGGATAGTTTGAAGAGGCAGCGTCATTTAAACCAGTTTCTGCAAAGAAAAAGAGATAGCAAAAATTATCAAAATAGAATTAAGTTTTTAAAAACTGATCATGATGAACGATCACCAAATTTCAAAATACTTTTCAAGAATCGGGCTTTTATACTTAAAGATATCGGCGAAACTTCGTTTCGTGCTATGAGTCTGCTTCAACAGATCGTCTACAAAGTTCTGGATTCGCGAACTGAAGCTCATTATCTGCGCTTGGAGCTGATTGGGTTCCAAGAACCGCATGCATGGGGCGAGAGTCGCTGAAGGTTTGAACAGATTCATAAAATTGTTCCCAAAATTACTGAATCTACATACGACTGGACCGATTTTATGAAAGTAAATATTCCGACTAAAAATTTTATCGCTAGATGGCGCTGGGGTTGGGCTATTCCTAAAATTCGTATACAAACTAAAATGTAAAAACCAATATATCTCTAAAAACAATTACGCTGGGAAACTACAACTTATCACGGATGCATAAATTGCAAATACCCTACTTATGGCGAAGACTGGTAGGCATTGGAAAAGGGCGCGTGGCACCTCCGATACAAACTGAACTTCTCATATCGCTTATCTCAGGAACCGATTATGCTAACGTCCTGAAATTTGACACAGCTACATTATTATCAAAACAGTACTTATGGCGAAAAGTGGTAAGTAATGGAAAATAAGGCATGGCACCCCCATTCTTCTTATATCACTTATCTCTGGAGCCGCTCACATTAAAGTTCTGAAATTTGACACAGCTACATACATACATAAAGGTCAGTCAAATTATCGGAGGTTGTACCTTGTAGGCTATTAGAAAACTCGTTACGTGGCGCTGGTGTAGATTTATTTATAAAAGTCGTATTTACTAACCGATTTCGTTGAAATTTCAAATGTGAGGTATGATGAAAAATTCTTTTGATAAAAATGGACCCTCTGAGTGGCGCTGGAGTCCAGGTATTTGGAAAATCCGCATTTCTTATACAATAAGGTTGAAATTCATAATAGGAATTCATTTTATGATAGGCAATGGTTTTGCAGAAAATGGGCCTAATCGTGTGTTTGGTCTGCTTTAGTTGGTAAGTTATACGAATTAGGCTTTCAGATGGCTGAATGAAGGATGGGGCTAAGTATGCATAGAAAGACCGCAAAATTGTGTAAGCGCACCTTTGTCTGACGCCCGCATACCCCCTAAATGCGATCTTGCATCTACCTAGAAACCAGTTCATAAATATTAACACGAATTGTAAAAGTGGCGAATTAACAAGGAACGATTCGATCACATCAGTCCATGAAAGGTAGGTATGTATATCAACTGCTTCATTTGAGCGATATTCAAGAGATCATACGACTCATTTAGCCAATGTATCTGGAAACTTTTCATCCTGTGGGACTGCGAGCATTCTTGGCCCTCCTATAACAGAAAACGTACATCTGTGCTGTAGAGATTCCTTATAAGGACTTTTATTGGCCCACGCATCGGAGCAATGTTGAAGTTGCAAGAACATACAAAAAGATTACACATGCTCTCTGCCAAGCACAGGTGGAAATAAGGCCATCGGTAAACAGGTGGCAATCTTCAACAAAAATATTTTCGGCTCTAAGCCTTCTTAAACCTTTTTCTTTTGACAGCGATGTTGCAATTTTACTTTATCTTATCAAATTGCTTAAACTCAATTTATTTTATTTAAGTTAGACCATTAGCAATGCATCGGGGAAAACTGCATTCGATTCCATGCATTAGTTTTCGAGTGATGCGCATACAAACATACAGAGAGAAAAAGAAAAATTCCAAAAGATTGTTGATTTGGCTTCTGTTGCTCTAAAAACGTACAGACATCGATTCTTTCAAACACCGATAAGCTTGGTATTCTTCCACCCATATTTTACTTCATTTTCCAAAGCCAAGCAGTAAACAAAAATTTACTACTTACCTATAGGTTGTACGTTCACAATGCCATTCTTATCACGATGTATACGCATACGACCTATGGCCAAACGTATTGGCACTGGACCCGGTGAGGTAATATTAACGGGCGGACGATCTTCTATTAAGTTGATTTTCACATTTTCCACGTGCACCTGTGCAGAAGAAGAAGAAGAATTCGAACAACAAAAAAAAATAGTGGTTAAGAGCTGCTGGTGTGTGTGGAATTTATTGTACTTACAGTCACCGGCAAAGGAGTGGTGATTATTTCATCTTCTGCTAAATCTCCCAAACCTATAACTGTGCTCATGGATAAATCTAAATTAACATCCTTTACGCGCACTTCCGCATGATGCTGGATCCAACTGTTAGGGAACAAAGAGAGAAATCAACAGAAAAAAATTAAATACCAAATACAAAAGCAAAAATCAACATTCATACACACCTCTGTATAATTTTCTTATCGGTGATGTTTACATCACCCTGTGGTGGGTTGAGTGTCTCCTCCAAACGCAAACGTATGCATGGCGGCAACTCTGGATTGTAGGGCGCCAAATTCCAAGCTTTACAACGTGCGCCAAATTTAGTCTAGACACAGACGTTGTTGATGTGTGAGTCGGCGGGGGTGGTGCAGTCGAAGCGAGTGTTGGCATGCAAAGGAAAAGCAGCACATATTTGTATGTAGATTATTCAGATTTTTGGGAAAATATTCTATTAGCTACAGTTGAGCGCATAAATCAACGCGCAAATTTATACGAAAGCAAAGCGATTTGGTGACAGCCAAAGAAAAAAAAACTTACAACAAAAACAACTAGTTGAAACTAAGTAATAGCGAAAGCAGCAATGCGGAGAATTGATTATAGTACAATGATTTCAGGAAGTCAAACAAAATTTGGATACATGTAAATCGTTTTTTTTTTCTTTTTCTTCAAACTCTACTTTGAAACGGTGCGCTTAACAACAAAATTACATGCAGTGCAAAAAAGCTTTTAGCAAATATCGAATGAATGATATTAATATGAAATATATGTATTTTTGCAATGAGTTTGGATATGTGTACGTAAGTAAGTATGTGGTAGCAGCTGCTTTGTAGATTTGTGAGTATGTTTGGTTTGCTGTTAATTGATGTTCACTAGGCATTAATATTCGTGGTGAAATGTTTGTTGTAGTGATTTTTAAAATAAGCCAATTAGGAATACAGTAAGTGTGCATTTCTTCGATTTCGTATTCAAGTGTAAGAACCTAATTTTCAATCTACATGTAAGCTGTTCTAAACGCGCTCAACTGTTAGGATCTTGATACGCAAACAAATTTCGTAGGTCGATTTAAGTTATTAAGTTAAGTCACAGTTGGCGAGATGACATCTATCAGAACATGAAAGGGTCACTGTTTCACATTGCTCTAAAGCAATATTTCGTCATCATTTTTATCATTAGAAATCAGGCAGAAGGAGGTCAATAAGTCACGAAAGATTTCCTTCGAAGTCAAGTCTCACGTTAAACCAAAAATCTCTAAAGCACTTACAGGATAGACCCATTATCAGCTATGCATCTGTGGTTAGGTGGAGGGCACTACCGATTAATAGAGGGGAGGGAAATCTGCTTACCAAATTAAAAAATAAAAATAAAAAAGGCGTGAATACCAGGTACGGCTTGTCAAAGCATTAGGCGATTCAGTTGCATACATAAGTAAATAGTTTAGGTTAGAAATTAAACATTAATTTCCTGAACGGGCACCGAAACGGACGAAAAAGTCGTGAACTTGTCCCGAAATGACTTCGAACAAATTTTAAAAGGGTCCCGCAATGGTCCCCTATTAGTGCCAAAATTATTCCAAACTAGTCCCAAGCTGGTCCTAAAATAGATCTGAATTAGTCCCTAAATTATCCCAAACTGTTCCTTAAATAGGCTTGAACTAGTCTCAAAATTGTGCAGAAATAATGCCAGACTGTTCCTCAAATAGTTGTGAAATGGACCTAAAGTTATCCCTATATAGTCCCGAAATTATCCCGCACAAGTCCCGAAATACTCCTCAGGACGTTCCGAAACTTCCCAAAATGGTCCTAAACTAGTCCTGAAATTATCCTAAAATAGTTCCGAAATGGTTCTGAACAGGTGCCGAATCGATCCCGAATTAGTCCCGAAATGGTCCTTAAATAGTTTGCAGGCCTCGAAACTGGCAAAAAAGTCGTGAACTTGTTCCGAAATGATCTCAAACAAGTCTTGAAACGGTCCCGATATGGCCCCTTATTAGTCCCAAAGTTATTTCCGAACTAGTCCCAAATTGGACCCAAAATAGTCCTAAATTACTAGTACCGAAATTGTGCCGAACTACTCCCAAATGCCAAAATGTTCCTGAAATAGCCTTGAACTAGGCCCAAATTGGTGCATAATTAATCCCAAAACGTTCCTCAGCTCCCGAAAAGGTACCGAAATGATCCCGAACTGGTCCCAAAATGGGACTTAACTAATCGTAAAGTGGCACGAAATGGTCCCTTTTCCATCTAGAGAAGTTTTAGACGAGGTATTCCTTGGTCCGCACCTTCGAACTTGGAGGCATCGAGACGCTGCAAGTAGCACTTGCACTGTGATCGGCACACATGACAACCCCATATGCCATTCATGCCTTCAAGAGGATGAGACTGTGAAAAAGTATTTATGCCTGTGCTCCGACATTGAAAAGTTTAGTTATCAGCCTTTTGACATCGTCAAATGCAAACGAAAACAGTTGAAATAGACAACATGTAGACTGAGCCACGCCTTGAATGAGTTTCGCTAAAACATAGTGAGCTTTTTTTACACTAAGCTGACACCTATTTTTTTTATTTGGAATTTTAAGTCTTATAGATATCTCGTGTTCCTATTTATATTTCTATTTTTAATTTATTTATTTTCTATCATTATTTTCACAAATTATTATTGAATAAGATGCCAATTAAGGATACTTGACTTAAAAAAAAATAATAATAATAACCAAACAAAAATAAGGCCATAAAAGCAAAAAATAATTAACACCATTCAAGAAAAAAACTTTATTATGAAAAGTTGTATTTCAACTATAAACTTTAAAGTAACTTGAATATTTCTAACAAATAAGCTATTTGGGTTAATTATGTTGTTTATTAACTGTATTGGAAGAAAAACTGTAGATAAACCTTATAAAGGCATGCAATAAGTACTTCATTTCAAAATTTGGTGTGTATACATATCGTTTATAATCGGATATATTTTCGCCAGAGGAGAGGTTAGAAGAGGAATTTGCAAATTGTGTTTATAATAGCAGCTACTTTAAAAATATGTATTATATTCTAAAGTTATAGTTAAAGGCGGCTGATAAAATGCGACATTTTTTTTTAATTTTTAGAAAGGCAGGTCTTGTGTGCTTAAAGTATTTACATACATACTGAAATAGCTAAAAAATGTATTATTAAAAATAGTTGCAAAATTCGAAACAAATGAGAATCAGTGGTAAAAAGAGGTGAATTGGACTGGTTCAAATTGGATTATGGTGTGGTTAAAAAAGCTAACAATATGGGTATTCATGAAAACGCGTAAATGCCTTGTAACTGCGTAAACATAGTAAATAAAACGATTTTCTATACAAAATTAGGTAAATTTTCGAGGTTTACACGGATTCGAGCCATTTTCGCGTTTGAAAGAATTGCCCTAATATCCTTATACTCCCAGTGCTGCACCTGCCTAGCAACATTATATATTTAAGCCTCATTTGGAAATCGCTTAGCATTTTATTCGCCCCCTTAGTATATGCTTCCAATTTCCAAGCGGTATATGGAAAAAATACCTCGTGTGCGCCAGCTAATGAACTATGCAATGCTATTTGAAATGCAGCTGCCTGCCCCCTTACAGCTGCATTACGAAGGAGAAATTTTCAAAAATTAAGAAATAAAAAATACTACATTTTATGCATTATCGAATTCGTACCTATGCTTTCACTTTCCACATAAGCCTGCATTTTTCATCGTTGATACAATGAAGTAAGCACAGCACTAAGCATTGAATTAGTACAGAATTGAATTAAACACGCGTTTGAGTTTCTCTCACCATTCTGTGATGAACGGAAAGATGTGATAAACCAATTCCTTCTTATCCCTTCCAATGCGTTCCCGTCCCTTCCAATGCCTTCTCATCCCTTCCAATGCCTTCCCCTCTCTTCCAATGCCTTCCTATCCCTTTCAATGCCTTGTATCCCTTCCAATGCGTTCCTATCCCTTCCAATGCCTTCTAATCCCTTCCAATACCTTCCACTGCCTTCCTATCCCTTCCAACGCCTTCGTATCCCTTCCAATTTCTTTCTAAGGCCCTTATTATGAGCTGTATTCGATTTTCGATCTTCGCTGACTATCGAAGATCGAAGATCGAAAGTGAAATTCGTATTATGAGCTATGCAAGCGTGTCGAAATTTTCGTTGAGTATCGAATTTTCTGTCGAACAGAATTTTGCTTTCGATGGTGTAGCGAAGTGTTAGAAAATTGTGAAAAATGTATGATTTTGTATATGTTCTTACATTTTGGCGGCTAGACACTAATTTTAAACAATTTTTATTAATTTCATGCAGTTCTAACATCGTGAATACTAAACACAAGCTCGAAAGGCTGGTTTTACTTGTGAAAGAAAATCCCAATACTCTGTTGGCACGATCTCTGAGAACAAAATCGTAGCGCTGTTGATAGTTTTAAAATATTTTAAATAGATTTGGCTCACAAACGCCTCTTTAGATGGTCGGAACTTTTTAATGAATCTGTAGACAAATTTCTTAAATATATTTTATATCAAAATATATTCGAAAGACTAATAAACTTAAACTCTCTTAAACATTTGCTACTCCTGGCCAGTTTACTAAGCTCTCATCCTCTGACGAATCGTTGAACCAGAACTCGTTGTACTCATTTTACCACGTTTTTATAAACTTGCTTTCTTTTTTACTTCATTTTAATTAGAACAAATTTACATAAATATGTATAAGCACACTATTTAGTTTGCTCGATTTGTAAACAAAGCTTCTCAGCGGTGAAAAATATACTATTGTGAACAACCTAAACGAGCGAAATTCACAATAGCGCTATTCTTCATCGAATGAACGCCATAATACCAAATGAAAATTCGTTCGCTCAGCACTTTCGACCACAGTCGAAAATCGAATGCAACTCATAATAGGGGCCTAAACCTTCCAACTCCTTTCTAAACCTTCCACTGCCTTCCTATCCCTTCAAATGTCTTCCTATCCCTTCCAACGTATTTATATCCTTTCAAATGCCTTCGTATCCCTTCCAATGCGTTTCTATCCCTTTCAATGCCTTCTCACCCCTTCCAATGCCACTCTATACGCGTTCCTATCCCTTCCAATGTCTTTCTATCCCTTCCAATACCTTCTAATTCCTTCCACTGGCTGGGATAGGACCCATCAAGTACCTTCCTATCCCTTCCAATGCCTTCCTATCCCTTCCAACTAACTTGCAATTCGAATGGGCAAACGCCCCAAGATGGTATAGGCTGCTGTATTACCAATCTTATCCTGCGTCAAAATAAACCCTCAAAAAGTATTATAGGGCGCATTTTCAGCTATCCCCTCAGATAACCAGGCCTTTGCCAACAGGGATGATCAAATCAAAACAATTTGAGGACTGACTAAATGCTTAAACTTTCGGCAGCAAGAACTACAACAACAGATCTGAGAAGGTTCAAAGCAACGAGTTGGAACGAGAGGACTCCTCAACTAACTTTGTGGGATCGGAAAGGTTTTGTGGTCTACGTTGATATTTACCAAAAGTCATAATTCAGGTTTGGGACTGTAAATATTTAGGGAACAAAAGACGTTTCAGGTCGCAGCATCTAGTTTTTTTTACTAGAATTAGGAACTACTAAACCAAAAAGAAATGAGATGAATCAAAATATGTCGCCGAAACCTTCTAAAATTTGTTAGCAACTCGCACTCGCTATTTGCTAAATTGTAAATGTGTATATAAAAATTTAAAGTCATTCCAAGGCGTCTCAAATAAACCTGGGTTAGCTTTCGAGTTAGATCAATGCGGGTCTTATTTAATTTATATTAATAACAGATTAGATGCACTACTAAAAAGTAACGAATGAATTTTGATCAATCATAATAACAATAATCTCAAACAGTTTTTATATAAGTTTTTTTCCAAAAAGTGAAGGAGGGAAGTGGGGGTTTCAAGCAAGACTTAGCATCAAAGTAGCGCAACCGCTCAATACAAAACTACTTCAAAAAAGAAATATTAAATATTAAAAAAATAAAATAACTGAATTTAACAACTCGAAAATAACAAACAAAAAAAGAATTGAAATCACCGTAGAACCCAACTAAATGCAGACACAGTTGAAACACAAATACCAGTAATATAAATTGAATGCTTAATATTAAAGAATTTTACTTAAAATTTAGAAGAATTTTAATAATTTCTTTGATATACCTTGTTTGCTTGTTGCGCTTTCTGTTTTGTTTTTGGTTTTCGTTTTCAATTGTAAGTAGATTTGGATTTTTTATTTGTTTTGTATTTTTTTTTCATGATTGTCGTATTTTTACGTTGCAGATTGTATTTTTCAGTAAAGGTTTTCGCAATATTTGTTGTGTAGCAATTTGGTTTTAACGAATTCGAAAATTCGCATTTCACAAATATGTATGTGTGTTAAGTGTTTTGAAAGTAAAATGTTTGGTTATGTTTGTAGTTTGGTATATATTTATATAAATGTTGACAATTTAGCACACATCGAGAATTTTGTTGAAAAGAGAGAGAAAAGAGAAAAACAAAAATCAAATTTTTAAAATATAATTTTTTTACAATGTGATTTTTTTTTTTTGCATGTTTGTTGTTGATTATTTGATATGCAGCATTTAAAAGGTATATACGATATTGCATTATATACAGCTTTGGATTGTATGAAAAGCGTTTGAGAATAAGTATACTTGAAATGGGACTAGTTGTCACTGAGTTGCTCTCACTTTTGAAATCATAAACTGAGATAACGATACTTATCTTCTCATCTTGTGGCTTAAAATTAGTAATTCGGAATGCTGGCAGATACATAGAAAATTTTTTTTCAAAATGAATATGCAAAGCTTTGGTTGCACACAACTATGTTGGGGAACCTTTTTCTGTACAAAACAAAATCGATGTTAATAAATCCAACAATCAGCTGAACTTGTAGAGCCAAAAATAAGAAAAATTAAACCGGCGTTCAACCACTTCAGTTAAAAGCAAAAGCGCCCTTGGCCTTGACTCTTCGTGGCACATAGGCCGGATGTTAAGCTAACTAATTGTTAAAAAGTTGTTTTTACAGTAAATTGATGATTGACGCTATTTTGGGGATCACCACCACATCTCCCAATAGACATATTTCAACTGGCTGTTATTACGCCACACTAATCAACAAATGCTTTTACTACTCTCTCAAGTTCATAAAATTGTAAAATAATGACTTCCTATACATTTTCGTTTTCCATACAAAAATACCACCAGCTATCGGCGTTTATACGTTTAAATTTCTTCTTTTCTTTGATGATAATATGATTTCGATTGTGAAGGAAGAAAATTTGAGAAAATCGAAATTCATAGGCATGCAAAAAGTTGTAACGAGACAGTAATTGCATATTTTATAACATTAATTAATAAATTATAATTTCGAAAAAAATTGACTTAAATAAAACCCAGAATTAAAAAAAAAAAAAATTTAGAAATGTTGGTTATTTACAATTAACTTTGGTTAAAAACAAAAATAAATAAATAAAACAATACTAATAAAAACAAAACAAGGATATCGGAAAGTTTAACTTAAAGACACTGAAACAGACAACCAAAAATAAATTCCAAACATAAAAAACTTAAACAGTGAAAACAAAAAATTAAACACAAAAGCCAATAATTCAAACAAAACAAAAATGAATTTAACCCATAAACAACACATGTAAAGAAATTGGTTGAGTAAAAATATATTGTACCATTAGGTATTAAGTATAATGTAAAATATTTTATAGAAGAAAAAAACTAACAAGCCATTTAATAACAAAAAACCTACCTGCAGTTCATCCCAAGGAATTGCGCCACACTCGTCGCAAGAAACTGCGGCCACTTGTACGCGCAACGATGAAGAGTTGCCCTCATTTTGGCGTATCAATTCAACCGTGGTGAGTCTAATATGCAGAGTAGAGCATAATTTAAAATCGTTTTACAATGCAAACACTATACAAACCTAAAAGTCGCCATTGAGACTAAATCACGACGCCGCCACGTGCTTGCCTCAGACGGTTCGGAGGGCGATGACAGATTAGTTTTATTATAACTAGGCTCTTCCAGCACTTCGCTAGCCACCTCAACGGGTGATACTTTCAAGTTGGTATCATTGGTGAAGGGATTTAATCTATGTACGTAGAAATTAAAGTAAAGACAATAAATAGTATTGTAGAGAAAATAGTGGATTTTTAAAAACCTCATACCTAAACATCACATCAATGCAATCCATAGTCTTATCATCGCCCATAACAATGGCGAAATTTTCCGAATCTGAACTAATATCACTTTGTATAGAGAATGTGTCACTGGTGTCATCATTTGGCGCTCCTGACTTAATGGCCGAATCTATGGATGTCATAAAACTGGAGAAGCCTTTCTTCATAGACATGAGACCTAAAAGAAAAGTGAGAAAAAAAGAAAAGTTAATAGTAGAAGCTTAAACTTATCGTAAGTCTTTTGAGCTATAGAACTTTTTTCTTCAAAATTTTCCATACTAGAATTGATTTCTTTGGTTATGCTAGTCGCATCGCCTGTTGTGGAAGTACGTGTCGAACGCACACTTTTCGTCGATGCTGTAATGGACTGTGAATAGACACCAGTGTCGGGACGTGAACCCTGACTGGGTGTGGAGGACGCAACTGTTGGTGTACTTTGTATTTGCACATTATAACTGTAAAGTAATAGTAAAATTTAATTTCTCCAAGCAATCTCACAAAAAAATACTCGTAAATATTGCATTGTACTTACCCATGTGTATTGGGATTGGAAATATGCATGCCACCATCGAAGAGTGGCTCATTGGTGACTGGGGAAGGTGTTTCCACACTGCCATATATATTCCGTTTTACTTCCTCCAATGGAGGTGTAGGCCATATAGTGTTTGTACCTATCAAAGGACGTGATAAATTAGAAGCTCGGTGTTGAGGTCGCATGCGATTTGCAAGAAAAGATAAGTAGTATTTTATATGAAAACGAGTAGAGTAGTGATTGCTTGAAAGTTAGCAAGTAATGGTTAATTATTTTATTTTTTTGCAGTAGTGGTCTGTGGCTGATCAATGTAGCTGAGTTCAATTGTAAGCTTCTACGTTAAGTTAGTTATTCGTTTAGTGTTAGTTGTGAGAACAAAACATGCGAATGTTAATAAAAAAAAAGTAAGCACTCAGAAAATTATTAATTAGTACACTACGCACACACACGTTCATACATTTGATTGAAATAAATACTGATTTTATTGGTCAAGAGTATTTAGGACACTAGATTTTAGATTCAGTTTTAACAGGACGACAGTTGAGAAACCGAGAATAAAAGAGACAACCAAGGGGTGAAGAGAGTAGATGAAAGAAGCATATAATGGCTATAACCGCCATTATAAAACTCATGTAAAAAGAATATGTATGTATCGATATGCATACATACATTTTTAAGTGAGACACCAAGTGAATAATTTAAACAAAAATTTAAATCATATTGCCATTTTTTTTTAATTTTCGAAGCATTAAACTTTAAAACTGTCATATTAAGAACTGCTTTCATTGAGACCTACTGTTGGGAGTATGATAGCGCATACGAGCTTTACATTTCAAATTTGATATGTGTACTCTCATAGGAATCGCTAACAAGCTTAGGATTCTAGAAATAGGTATCTTGACCCAGAATTAGCTGAAAGGTTTTTGTAGAAAGAAGGCATTGCAGCGTAAGTAAAGCGCTTGGGACCACCACTGTGCTCGTAGGAAATGTCATTAAAAGCTGACGGAACTGAAATTAATAAAAAAAAGCGAAATTAATATATATATTGCGGATTCCGTCAGACGTAGTGTTTATATCAAGGATTTATTCGTCATACAATCGAAATTTTGCCGCGCTAAGTTTATAGTTCTTTCTGTTCTTTGCTTAATTTTATTTTTTTCTACCCCATTTAAAATAACACATTTTGTGTTAGTTATTACGAAATATATAAAACTGAATATAAGCTTACAACTGTTTATAGGCATATGAACTCCTTTCTTAAATAGGATTTATTAATGTATGCAAAAAAAAAATTGTTGCAGTCAATCTAAAATTGTTGTTAATTCCATTCGCATTACTTTCTAAACTGGGCGATTTCTCATTCTAAACTACAAAGTGTAAAAGAAAAAATACTACTTTTTAAATAAAATTAATGTTCGAAATCAAACAAAGCAAGAAAAAGAGAATAGTTAAGTGACCGAAAAAAGTGTGTTATATAAACACTGATTTTGTTGGAAGTTGTTGTTATAAATTTAGTCACTAAAACTTAAGATACGAAATAAACAAAAATAAATCTTACTATTCATGTGTAAATCATCACCCAAACTAGCTGAATCGGGTAAGACACTTTCAGCATCACCACCACTCGATTCCTTACCAGGTGTTGGCGATGGCATCACGAGTGTTACTTCGATTTGCGGTATAACACAACCGAATATCATTGATTTCTTCGTATTTTGCTGCAAGATAGTTACAAAAAAAATGAAATAATTAAAAACTCCATTCCATTAAAATTCAGCGCATACCTTTTGTAAAATACGTTCGGCATCCATTGACAGGAACATAGCCATTTCTGTCATCTCCTCGGCTAGCCGCAATAGGAACAAGTACTGATAATGATCGATTTGCACACTCACCAAATTGGATATGTGCGCAATGGCATGCATATCGGCGGTGCGTTCGGTGTTTGCGTCCTTTGCGCCCGTTTCTTTCGACCTTCCACCACCAATTGCAGCGTCGACGCTTTCGCCGGCACCATTAAAGGAACGTTGCTGCTTCCAATCCATGCCCATGCGTACATCTTCCTCACTCAGGAATGGATTGCGTGGCAAATTTCGACCATCCGCATAATCCATGCAATTGATATTCGTTTCGACGGAGAATCCTTTCACGCTGGATGTATTTGAATTGTTTACGATGCTTGCCGCCGCCGCCGACTTTGACATGGCACCAACACCAGAATGCAGCCAAAGGGTTACTGGAACGGCGTCAACAAATGGTATAGATTTGTTGGCTCCCAAAGAGCGTGCACCCAAGAAGTCAACCCACACCGGATCCAATTTGATACACCATACATCGCGCGGCTCCGACCACATGGCGTAACGTGTCAAATTCTGTGTTGAAGCGGATTTCGACAGCTGTGCTGGCAACTGTGATTGCGCTTGTTGTTGCAAAGAAAATTGTGTTGCTGCCATGGAAGTCGTCGTTGCCGCCGCGGCCGCCGCCGCCGTCGAGGTTCCTGCTACTGCGGGAACACCCACATCCGCAGCGGCCACATGCGATAGTATGCGATCAGTGACAATGCACATATCACCGCTCATCGATGGAAATTCCGTGCCGAAGACGAGTGAACCCTCTTGTAGTGAATGTAAAGCTTGCGCTAAATCAGCGCGCGACGAACCCATTTCACGTATGTTTGTAATGGCAAAACGTGAAATTTGAATTTGCATAATTCTTGGGCGATCCTTTTGATTGGGCACATCTACGGTTGATTCGATGACGACACGCGGCATAATCGCTTCAATTTTCACATCCATATACATTAGATTGGGCTCTTCTTGTTGTTGCACCTGAAATATGGCCGATTGTGAGTTGCGTGAACCCTGCGAACCCTGCGAACCCTGCGAACCCAGCACACTCTGTGCACCACGTTGTGAGCCACTAGAGGAGACCGAACCGCGCGCCGTAGAAGAAACACCACTTGCCGAACCAACGCTGGTACGCAATAAACTCTCATGTAAATTAAGCGCAAATGAATTGAGCCAAAGTACGGAACTTAAATCGAAGTGCACTTGTAAGGGATTTATGTGAACAAATACTTTGGACGGTGGCACTAAAGGTGAAAAGGGAAGAAAAGAATTATGATTAAATTGCAAACGTTTTGCTAGTGAAAAGTCAAATATAATACTTACAAGGAAATATAAAATCACCAGGATAATAAAAGTAAGTAAACTCGGCATGTACAATGGACATATCAGAGGGAAAAGAATAACGCTCCTTGTCACCTAGAAAATAAAATGTTTTGAGTACTAGTAGTAAACGAATTGACTCGTATGTTAAATTGGAATAAAAGCTGAATATAACAAACAGATATGACTTCATAAGAATTTTAGTTGAATGTCGCATGCATATGTGGTATAACATGAAGCAAATTAGCATAGCTTCAAGAATGGTCATAGTGCAAAAAAATTTCGGTATCAGCTACATATGTTTGTGTACCAAGGTCTTTTTTTTAGATACTACTTGTTTTCTGCTGGTACGTAAGCAAGAATAACAACAACAAGTACCAAGTAACTGAACTCTATAGTTATACCTGCGGTGACCATCCGTCCTGCATTATGCGGGACAGTCCTCTTAGTCAATTGTCCTGGTAATTGATTTATTTTATATGTGACGCCAAATGTTCTATATTTCTTTTAATGCCCTGTATTTTTCCCGTATACGGTGTTCGGTGTTTCGATGCTTTAACATCTAATACAAATGACTATGACTATGAACCAGTTTTTATTGACCGGAATTTCACTAGTAGCTATTCAGAAGTTTTTCATGTTTCCACGCATTTTACTTCGAATATTCTGTGTGAAGTAAGGCAGCACTAGAGCAGCTAATTTGACTTTTTTTTCAAAAATTTCGTCCCTAAATCAGCAAAAATGTTCAAATTTGTTTACATAAATATTTGAGCCGTTTATTTTTGAAATTGGCATAATTCACTTTGTTTTTAAATCGACATATATAAGGGATTTCGTTTCAACACGCTTAAAAACATTGATGCAAACTTTCGAAAGGATTTACTTGCATTTGTTATCTTAGGATACCTATATTTTTTCTCAGTATAAATAATTCGGTATAGTCATGGAAAAATTACCACCTTTCATTAGGGGAAATAAATTCTTTAGAAAAATTAGTGACTTATATCAATTTGGACCGATGTATTTTACCTAAGTGATGTTACATACGTACATATATACATATATAATAATAATAATATATACCTCTATCCCTGCAATTGAAGTGTAACACCGTGCAACAAAAACAAACAAAAAAATTAAAAACCACAAAACAGTCAATATACTCCCAAAACTAATGGCCAAATATGTATAATGAAGTGTTTCGACTATATAGAGGCAGGTGGAAAAAAGTTATGGTGATACAAAAAGCCTGTTGGGCTTACCGAGGGAATAGTAAAAGCCGCAGTCTATGGCGTTACGATTTTTTAAGAACATTGAAATTTCAATGATACATATGATTACTTCCAAAACTTATTTAAAAAAATCAGTGGAATGTAGAATATAAATATGGGTACCAAATGAAAGAAAAGATTCTTTAGAACTTAAATATACATAATAAATTTTTTTGGTTTACGAGGACGAATTGGTATAAAATTGCCTTTTATTTATTTATTTTTATTATTTTGAGTAGAACGATATTAATGCTTACAATTATAGGATTGTTTTCAAAAATTAATACTAAAAATTCGCCACAATGCACAAGGACAAAATTTTAAAAGTGCATTTTCAATACATATTCGTCCTTATGCACCAAAAACTTTAATTTTCCTCAATTCTACATAATTTTCTCTTCGCTTTGGTGCCCATATTGTCATTCTACACTGCACCAAATTTTTTAAATAAGTTTTAAAACTAATCATATCTTTGTAATTTCAAAGTCCTTTTAAAAAATCTTTACGCAGTTTTACCATATTTCGCTCCTAGTTTTGTGACTATATTCTTTTAGTGTTAAATGGACTTTTGCCTCCTTAACATTTCAGTGCATTTTTTTTTAATGAGCAGATACCGTCAAATTGTAATTACTGTTGCATTGTTAAATGTATATTACTTACATTGTTATCGATATATTTTTCGATATTATTATCGATTCATTTATCGTTATTCTTATCGATAGTGTAATCGATATATTTTTCGGTATTTTGATCGATGGATTTATTGGTATTTTTATCGATAGGTATATCGATATTGTTATTGAGAGATTTATCGACATTGCTTCATCGATAGTATCATGTTTATCGTACTGATGTCGATATGACTATCGCAATGCAAGCGTTTTTTCTACGCATTTTGCTGTCAAAATGCGAAGGCGAAAGGCAACTTTTCCGTATAAACACCCAAAAAGTCCTTCTGCAGATTTGTATAAATCACTTTCGGAAATAAAAATTACTCTGGGCTATCGCTGAATATAGTATAAAACTGTTGAAAAGAAATAGTTTGGGTTAATTTATTCTAGTATATAAATATTATTGCATTCGACTTTTATAGAAGTTAGGGTTTCAGTAAATTTTTCCGGTCATTAACTTTTTTATAAGCATAAAAATGTCTAGCAACACATTTGAAAGTGGAATTTTCTACTTTGACCGCTTAAACTGGCAAAAATTAGAACCAAAAAGTTCGATTTTTGGAAATTGAAACTGCTTTCCAAAGTCACTTTGCATGACATTTTGAGTTTGACTGCCTTTTAAAAACCATTCGCACTTCCCACGTCTAACAGCTACTTAGCGGATTGGCTTTGGCATATTGTCCGCGTGGATGATGGTCCTCTGACAAATAAGCAAGGGCGCCCTCGACCACAAGAAAAGGTCTAAGTGAAGAAAACCTGCCTATGTCTTCGATGTCAATATATAGACAGATATTTGTAATTCTTTTTAATAATTATGATTTAGGCTAACGCAGATAACCTTCGTAAATCGTCAATTGACCTCGAAGAATACTTTAAGTGGAAGCCACCACGTGCTGGATGTTCTCTTACCGAGCCTAATAACGAATAGCGAGTCCTTTTGAATGCATCGGCGGCAACGTCGCCTCCAGCAGTCGACCCCAAACAAGTCGCTGTAGAACTTTTATGCTGTTTTGTACAATAACATCCAATAGCCTTATTAACAAACACACATTTAAACAAAAAACGGCATTTATAACATAAAAAAAAACAAAACAACATCAACGATTTTTTTTCCTTTTTAGTAAAAAACGCCGAATATATACGCTTTTAGTACCTGAACGTGATTTCCTTTTATTTTGTGCTAAACGTGCGTAATTTAATGAAATTGATATGATATGTGCGCCGAATTTTGTACAGTTATGCATTTTTTTTTTGCATGTAGAGGAAGAATAACGAGAAAAGCAAATGTTTAAATGAATCAATTGTATTTTATACAAGGATGTAATTCAAATAATTATGCTGCTAGCGTGATTGGATTACATGAGTATTAAAGTAGTCACTCACTATCCACCAGCCGAACTCACTACTCACCCGACACAAACTCCTTAGGCATCTGTTTCCTGCCCGATGTAGTGACGCGATACAATGTAAAATCCTCGATACGCAATACAACACAGGCGCTCATTAATTTCGCTAAATTATCCAAAGTCGCCTTTTGTTGTTGCGCTTGCGTCACCTGGCTAGAGAGAGCAGAGGCATTACCGGAACCACCGCCGCTACTACCATGACGATTAGGCGTAGTTGTGCCCGACGTAACAGCAGGCGGCGTGCCACCAGCTGTCACGGACGCAGCATGCGCCAAACTTTGTGCCTGCAGCGCATTTACATTTAGAGCGATGGGTGAAGGAGGTGCAGTACGTTCGAGCGGTGCATGAGTGGAGGGGCGATTTGGTTGACTTAGATTGAGTACAGCTTCACGGAATGTATTGAGCGATTCTTTAAGCCACAGCGCTGGCGATACGGATGCCTCACGATATCTGCAATGTTGGAAGATACGAGTTGCAATAACTTTGAATAACGTCGACTATTTAACATTAGATACTACTCACTTCGCCCAGTGCGCACGATCCGACTTGGCCAGATGATAAGGATAATAGTCTACTTGGAATGCTTGTACAGATATTTGTAATGCGCCGCCTTTATCCAACTCAGGAAAACTTGAACGGCCGTCTAGTTAAATAAAAGTAATACATTTTAGGTAAATAATCCATTTCGAATTTAAATGCTTGCTCTGCTTGCGCTCACCTCCTTCGTCGTCACACAAATGCAAATCGATGCGCTGACTAAAAAAGTGATAGGAAGTCTCGCGCACATCGAAAGCATTAAACATTTTCTGCGCTGTTGTTGTGTGCGCTGTATCAGATTGACGATTTTGTTGTTGCGCAATTAATGCCTGATACTCGGGCAGAGTCTGTGAGGCAAAACAAAAAAAAAAAAAAGAAAACGATTAATACAAAGTCAAAAGCAATCAAATTAAAAAATAACCTGTAGTTTTCTAGCTGCATTCTTTTTTTGTGTTGCATGTGTCGCCGCTTTGATTAGACCCGATAACGAATCGACAAAATGTAAGGCCGCCTTCAGCTGTGAATCGGTGAGCACCCAAAGGAGATCGTCAAGTATGAGCACCAGTCTCGAGGCTAAAAGCGTACAATCGGAAAGACGTTTCCGTAATGTGATCCGACAGCGCGCCTGATTGGTTAGCAAGCGTAATGGAGTGAGCGATTTGTCTTGTGTGGAACTGGCCTCAATGCGCACCGTTTGCCAGGAGAGCTCTTTGAAGATGAGTATGATGCCTTTCTGAGGATCTTTGAGGCGGGTGAATCGTAGATCGGCGTTTGCCCATTTGGGTGTTTTCGATTCGACGCGAATGCGAGACATCTGTTGATTAAAATTTAAGTACATAGTTATTTTTTATATTGATATTTGTAGCGGAAAGAAGAGTTCGTCATTTTGGAAAAATTATATTAAGCGTCGTTTTCTCAAGTAGCTTATGCAATTTGTCTGTCCTTCAAACACACTTTTTCAGAACAAAATTTAAGTTTAAACGGCAGGTTAATTTTAAAACGTACTTGAGAAAACGGCCATAAATATGTTTTGAAACGTAAAAGTTAGCTTTTCTAATGTACCAACTAAGCAGGAGCTACCAGAAGTTCGACAAGCGAACCGAGGACGATTTACAACGCTTTGACCTCGACGTTCAATGAAGAGGAACTCAATGACATTAGCCCAGATTAGCATGGAAGATCTGGACTAAATCATGGTTTAAGGTATTTTGGAATATCTCGATGGAGAGGCCCAGATCGTGGTTAGAGGAGACGATAAGGAGTTATGGCGTAAGAATATATTCCGGTTGGCCATCATCTGCATTAAAAATTCGCACAGTATATAGTGTGTCAACACTCATACTAATCGGAGAGGTGAGTAACTACTTTAATGCATTGTTGTTAAAAGACTTAATATCCATAATATAATACTACAAGAGTTACTTGACGTAACTTTTGGCAATAGACAGTCCAGCACCCTGGCTGGCTCCACTATGGTGGGTCGCATCGGAATCTAGAGGTAGAATATTGCTTGGGGCAGAGGTCAAGGAAAGTCATCCCAAGAGGTATCCCAGTAATACAAACTGAAATATGTACATACTTTTAACAATGAGCTTAACATCAACCGGCCTAAAAGCAGACCTCAAGAACAGAATAGTGGACTATATGGAGTTAGAGCATAAAGTTAATCAGTTTGCAAAGGAGTAAGTTCAAAACTGGCTGGTGTCCTCGGGAACTCTGATCGCGCAGATACAGGTGAGCGTGATTTTCAACAAAACTAAGCGCAAGGAAAGGTATTCAGCTAACCTCACCAGGTTCAGTGAGGAGTTCAGGAGGTGCAAAGTAAGTAATGTTAGAACCTGTTGTGTGAGCGAATCTCTTCTTCCATTGCATCTGCAAGATTTTACAAAGCCTTAGACAGAAGAACTTTTGTTGCCTTATACGACGTAACGAACGTCCATCTTTTCGTCCACTTTTCTATTAAATAGCAGCCAGAGTCCCGAGAGTTCAGTGCATCGCCAACAGACAAAAATTTTACAAAAAAAAAACTAGTTTACCCGGCGCTTATCAAGACTCCTAGACGAGCATTCGAGAAACGAAAATCAGGTGGATAGAAAAGCCGCTTCTATCCAGAATTCCTAAACCTGAAATTGGGGACAAAATCGTAAAAACAAAAAAGTGATATCCACAGGCGAGCCCCTAGTAGTGGACGAACTTGTAGAAATCCTATTATAGACTTCCATTTTTCCTAACAAACAAATCGTGTTAGAAAGCTCAAAATACATATATTGCTAAAAAGTACATAAATATTGTTACGCCAAAATAATAATAACAAAAATTGTTTTAGGATAAGCCTGCCTTAAACTGTACAATAAATCTAATAACTTAATGTATAGAATAAACAATAACAACTACGCTGTCAAGTTTAAATAGCGCTTGATACTTAGTAGTAAGTAGGTTGAATAAGGAAATGAATTAGTAAGAAAAGTTTACGAGTTGTGCATAGCTCAGTGGTTACTGGTTCCTTAAAAACAAAAACGGTGTTACAAAGTTCAATAGCACTGTTGAAATAAATATAAATATGCCACAATAAAATTTACAAATAAATAGGAAGAAAATGTTTTTTATTGGCAAACGCAAAAATAAAACCTAAGAATTCGGGGATGCTCTATCTTTTGCTCGTACTACCGACTTTCGGTGGTGTTTCTAAGTGGTTCGAACCACTGAACCGAACCACATCGATTTAGGGCGCCGATTACAACCCTGGTTAAAGAAATAACAAGTCTAGGATGGTGTTTTGGTTTTTTTTTTTTAATATTTCCTTTTCCAGTAGTAAAAAACCTAAAATCAATGCAAAGATTTATACATAAGCACATACATACTTACGTATGCACTAGTAAAAACCCTCTAACCCACCCGATAGAGAAACGTGCATATGCACGTCATAAAGCAATTACTGCAACCTATTAATTGCCCTTCAGTTTATACAATTTTCTAGTTTTCATTTCCTACGTTAGTACCTACACGTAGTATGTATGTATGTATGTTTGTATTTACATTTTTCAGAACCACTTAATTGCTAAACTCCGATGAGCCCCACTTACCTGCACTGATGCCGTGAACGCTGCACTCGAGAATTTCACATTCACCGTATTCACAATGATTGTTATACCATCTACCACCTTGTGAATGAAACTATATTTGCCCTGCGGCACCTGTGGCAGTGATGTCGGCGCCGTTGCACCGCCACCGCCACCGCCGCCACCACCGCCGCTGCCGGCACCACTGCCTCCTCCACTGCCAACGCCACCCGGCGAATTTGCATCTTGATTTCTTGTGCTCGGATCACAGGTTTCAACGCTTATATTCACCTCATCCAGTGTCTGTCTCGGCCAAGGTGATAACAGTTATTTTCACGTGCGAATGTATTTGTGTGTGTGAGTCATAAAAATAGAAAATTTTTAGAATCGCAAAGTCAGCAACTCAACAAAACTATTAAGTATTATCGTTTTTGTTTTTTTTTTTTTTGTTTTTTTTGTTCATGGACTGGTTTACTCACCAACGTTATTGGCACACTTTTCAGTTTAGTCCAGCTAATACGAAAGGACACATGATTGCACCAGGCCGATGTCAATCGCAACCATGAGGGCAATTCTAACAGCTCAGTGAGCACTGCTTCGTCCAACTGCAAATTCTTTAGATCCCCCTCACCGCGAAATGTGCTCAAATTGATTTTGTCCGATGATAAATTCTTTGTGTAGCTGCAATGGATGACACAGAAATGGAAAGTGAAAAATTTATTAGTAAATCGTAATGAAGGACTCGTAGCATTGAATTAGCAGAAATCATCCATCTTATAAATTACGCTCTTCCATTATTAGCTCTGACTTAATTGCAAACTCTTTCCGCTTTTGAGCACTTCGTGGCTCCCTGTTGTTGTTGTTGTGCTCACCAATTGACCTGTAAAAAAAACGATGTCAACTATTTCTGTGACACAACTGTTCAACGACTCGCTTCGCTGGCTATGTATTGCGCGATTTGCAACTAATAACTAATTGGTGTTCCTAATTGGCGTTGATACCATTTTTATTGAGTAAAGTGTTTTTGAAATAACTCTGCGTTTGTGGTCTGGTAACTAGTAAGCAGCAGTGATATTCAACCCCGTTCAGGATCAAGGGCAACATATTTTCCAATAAGTTATTCCACTCAAAAGAAATTTGTGATTTTTTAGTTGTTTTTGTATAATTTACTTTTAGAATGTGATACATATTCATTAGTTAGTTTTATTTAAGAAAAAAATATTTTTATCAAAATTCGAATAACGTATCAAAATAAGACATGTATTTTTTGGAAATTCAAATTTAAAAAATATTAATTTAAGAAATTTGTTATTGTGGCTTATTAATATTTAATTTGTAATATTTTTATTGAGCTTTGTACCACGATTATTTTATTAGGAAAAATGGAAAAAGCAACAAAGTCTAAGCGGTAGAAGTTATAGCAGCTATTGCGGAGATCACCACATCTCCTCATCAGACTTCTTTTTTCTAAACTTCAGCAGGGATCGAACCCCCGTCATCGATGTACAAAGTCAGCGTTAACCAAAGTCAGAAATAGCTGCTATAACTTCTACCGTTTAGTCTTTGTTGCTTTTTCCATTTTTCCTAATAAAAAAATCGTGATACAAAGCTCAATAAAATATTAAGAAATTTTCTTTTGGTAAAAGAATAATTAAAAAAAAAACATAATATTGGAAAAAACTGTATTTTAGAAAAAAAATTTTACCCAAGTTACAAAAATTTACCAATATTAGAAACAACATTCGGTTACAAGTAGCCGGTCATTTAAGCACATAATGTGTAATACAAACAAAATATGTTTTTTTTTTGTCGACATGAGTGCATGAGTAAGGAAGTTACTTGTTCCATTTTTGGATCTGTCCTTACTTTCCACGTTTCCACTTCCTCGCTATGCACTCACCTGAAACAAGTCCTTAAGAAGGAAGAGATTCGTGGTGGTGACAAGGAAGGGACTAAGATATTTGTTATCAATAAAATATGTATAGTGCGCAATAGGGTGGTCCAAAAACAGCAAAGTCGATTGTCCTATATCGAAAAAAGTATACCGCTATTTTTTTATTTTGAAATATAAAAATATTTAGAGGTCGCTCAGAGCGCTCAAAGTTTTCCATGTATTTTTATATGGGAAAAATAAAATTTTTCGTAGAAATGGTATAGAATTCTTGAAAATCAATATTTTTCGTTCGGAAAACTCTGGTTCTCTTTAGGAGACTTTCAATATTAATACCCAATTGTTTATTTAGCCATTTTTTAATACCAATGATTTTTTATTGGTCGCCCCATTGCATTTTTCGGGGCTTTTGTGGGTTTTTGGCCGATTTATAAATTATAATTGCGATAAAAAAATGGTTAAATAAACAATTGGGTATTATTATTGGGAGTCACCTGCAGATAAACAGAGTTTTCTGGTAGAAAAGTATTGATTTTTAACTATTCTACACCATTTCTACGAAAAGTTGTTTTTCTCCCATATAAAATACGTGGAAAACTTTGGGCGCTTTGAGCGAGAGAGAGGGTGAGAGCGTAAGAATTCCGACTTTACTTTTTCACATGCATTTTCGGACCACCCTAGTGCACAAGCTTGGTTACAGCTTTCATTATTTCGTACATAATATTTTAAAGCCATGGTCAGTGGTCAGTTTTATATGTTTTTTTTTACGAAACAATATTTTCATTTTCCAATGCCAGGCGCGTTAAAATTTCGTTCAAAAACAATATTAACAAAACATTTTCAATGGAAATTTTAGTAACGTATGGTCAGTCAGATAAAGTCACATCAAAGCCAGTCCAGCTAATTAAACAACAAACAAAAAAGATGTCTACATTAAAAAATATGGAAAATTAACCTTAAATGTTTATAAAAAGTTTTATATATAAGTTTAGTCTTGCCCAATTCGCAGAGTTTTGCAATTTTGCAGCCCAAGTCGAAATCCACTTCTGTTTTTTTGTAACGTCACGTAAGCGCAGATGTTAACTAATATCTTTACATCTCTACTTCCAACAGTAGTAATTTTTTTACTGAATAACCTTTTGACCTTTCAAATGTCTCGTTTTTACATTTACAAATACAATATTACTTAATAATCAAATTTTATTTTTATGAATAGTATTTAAGAACAGTAAAAAAAAACATTAGGACAATTAATGATAATTACACTAATCGGGTAAGTTTTTCAGTGCAAGTTTAAAATTAGAATATCTAATTCGTATTTTACAGATGCCGGACATTTGATTGGCTAATCTCAAAGTTAAACCAGCTTAAACTAAATTTAACCACAAGCAGTTTTAACCGAGCACTGAAAAACTGCTCAAAGTGCTCATGAACTCCTTGTTGTTTATAAAATGCCTAAGCTCCTCTTAAAAAGCGAACATATTTAAAATATTTCANATACGTAAAAGTCTGTTGGTTTTTGATTTCTACGTAAAAATGGTATAGCAGTGCATGCAATGCCAAGTATGCATAACAGAGCCTTAAGACATAAATATGTATGCATATCACTGCAGCTCTCTTTTGTTGTTGTCCGAAACATATAAGGTACGGAATGACAGTGGACTGCGAACGAACACATGACACCTATGTTATGAATTGTTGTTGTCTTAGAATTAAGTTGCGATAAACATGCGCGCAATTGTCGGTGTCCGATTTGAAGTTCATCCTTTTATTGTTAGGGGTGTTCATAATATGTAGCATTTCCAAAGTATAGCGTTTATGGTAGTGTTTTTCCTTTTCTAAAATTGCCACGTTGTCAAAGTTTGGATAATGTCCCGTATTCTTACAATGATATGACAAGGCCGTCTTGTTGTCCGAGGAGTTGTTCCTTAAACTAAAAAACTAAAGCAGAAACAAAAACAGTTACTAAACATTAGGGTGATACC